GGAGCCTGCTTCTCCCTTTCCCTCTGCTGCGCTGCCTGCTTGTGCTCTCTCGCTTTCTCTGTCAAATAAATAAAATCTTTAAAAGAAAGATTTTTTCAGAGAGAGAGCACAAGTGGGGGCCAGCAGGCAGAGGGGGAAGCAGGCTCCCTACTGAGCAAGGAGCCCGATGTGGGGCTCAATCCCAGGGAGCAGGATCCCAGGACCATGACCTGAGCCGAAGGCAGATGCTTAACCCATCGAGCCCCCCAGGAGCCCCAGGCAACTGTTTTTTTAAAACTAGATTAAAAATGGAAAGTCCGGCAAAGGTAACTAACATACAGAGCTGTGTTAGTTTCTGATGTGCGGTGCAGTGATTCATTAACTCTGTACCTTACTCTGCTCATGATGGGAAGTCCCCTTCACCTCTTACTCCCATCGCTCCCCACCCCCCTTCTAACACAACAGAGTCTGTTTTGGGGTTTGTCTCCTTTTAAATTTCCTTCATTTCTTAAATTCGCATGTGGGCAAAATCGTGGCATTTATCTTTGATGTATGTCTCTTACGGTCGTACCCTCCAGTTCCGGCCGTGTTGCTGCACGCGGCCAGAATTCATTCTTGTTTTGCAGCGAAGTGGGGTTCCGTCGTGTGTGTCATTCATCTGTCCAGGGACACTTGCCTGCTCTCCGGGTGCAGCTGCTGGGAGTGCGGCCGCAGGTGCGCACGAGGGCGCGGGGGACCCGGGCGGCGCAGAGAGCGCGAGTGCAGGCTCCGCACTGGGTGTAGAGATCACTTGAAAAGAACGTCTTAAAAGAATAAAACACACAGGGGTGCGTGCATCTTTTCGAATGAGGGTTCCCTGTCCTTTGGGTAAGTCTCCGATAGTGGCATTCCTGGATCCGATGGTAATTCTAGTTTTGAGTTTTTGAGGAACCTCCACGCTGTTTTCCGCAGTAGCTGCGCTCGCCCGCGTTCCCACCAGCGGCGCCCGGGGGCTGCTCCCTGCGGCCTCGCCAGCCCTTGCTGGTCCGTGCGGTTTTGGTTTAGGCCATGCCGGCCGGTGTGAGGTGGCCGGTCCTCGTGGTTCTGATTTGCGTTTCCCCGACGCGGAGCGATGCTGAGCGCGTTTTCACGTTGGCCACCTGGAGGTCTTTGAAATGTCTGTTCGTGTCTTCTGCTAGTTTTAATTATTATCTTTTGGTGTTCTTTATGTATTTTGGATACTAACCCTTTATTGGATGTGTCATTTGCAAATACCTTCTATTCTGTCAGTTGACTTTTAAAATTTTTTAATAAGATTTTATTTATTTATGTGACAGAGATCACAAGCAGGCAGAGAGAGGAGGAAGCAGGCTCCCCGCTGAGCAGAGAGCCCGACGTGGGGCTCGATCCCAGGACTCCGGGATCACGACCTGAGCCGAAGGCAGAGGCTTAACCCACTGAGCCACGCAGGCGCCCCAGAAGCTTATTTTGATGCAGTCCCAAGAGTTTATTTTCGCTTTGTTTCTCTTGCCTCAGGAGACATCTGGGAAGATGTTGCTGTGGCTGGCGACAGAGCCCGGCGCTCTCTTCTCCGATGTTTCCGGCTTCAGTTCCCGCGTCTCCCCCTGCGCGGGGTCCGGGCGCGCTGCGACTCGTGCTGCGCTCGGCGGCCGGTTTCCCTCGCCGCCCGGGGAGGCTTGTGT